ATATGGTGGTGATTATGGATGAATTTCAATTTCAAATAGTGCAGGTTTCTCTTACAAACTTTACTACCATTCTATTAATCAAGAACTCCTCTAGAATAACATCTTAAATCAAATTTAGGTATATTTGATGCTTTGGTTTATACTTGGGTGTTACTCCTTCGTTGAGTTTTATGTATACACCATGTGCAGTAACTTTTAAACTTTGTTTTGCTATTTATCATAAGTTCAAAGGTAATATCATGATTCCTAGTTCCTTTTTACTAATCGTGATCAATATTATTATTCATTCCTTCACCTGCAATTTCTTGATAATGTGGCAGAGTATTATAAGCAACAGGTAGAAACACTTGAAGGATTTAACAAAGTGGATGCCTTAGCAAAGTTGTGTTCCAGGAATGTGAAATGTACACCTTTTGTCATCCTAATTGTGATTATTTACAATATATGACTTATAAGAAACAAATGCATCAAGTGGCACGCTAACTGAAAACCCATCCTCCTATTTAAGATAGTGTCCAAGAGATTCCAAATCTATATAAATCGTAAGTATGACCTGAGCTTATATTCTTATCATAGTAAATGTTGGATAAATTTCCGCCTCTTTGTTTCTTCTCTTATCAAACACTGTATTGCAAGAGGAGGAATGTGGATTGAGAAAACAATCAGCTTGCAGTTGGGTCGAAGTGAATGAATGTTTATCCGAGTTTATGTGTAACAAAAAATCTTGCCCCCAAACTGGGCATAACTACAAGGAGTTATAGATACTTTTTATCCTCATTGTGATTATTTACTATTATCTCATGCATGTCAATTGCCCAAATTTTGTTTTTTTTAAGATATTATTTATTTTGATCCTACTTGACCTTAAACAGTTACTTCTGATGAATTTTTTTGTGCATTTTAATATACTTCAAAAGTTATTAAATGTAATATGTCAAAGTTTATTTATAAGACTACTAAAAAATACCTCATTACCTTAAGAAACGATAAGACTTGAAAATAATGTATTAATTTGTAGTGTATGTGATTATTAAATATCTAATATTTGATGTTACTTATTTATAATATCTTTCAATCGTGTGATAGAAATATAGTGGTGACAAAAAAACCAAGAAACCGAAACCGATCGACAAATCGACCGAAATTGAACCGATCGAAACTGAAATAGACTCAAACCAAAATCGACTAAAACCAATTAACCATTGACGGTTTGGTTTATGGTTTCACCTTTTGAGTTGAAAGATCGATCGAACCAAAATCGACAAACAAAAACCAACAAACATGCTATTTGTATATCAAGAACAAGAGTCAAGAGCAATCGGTATGAACTGTAGGTCTTTTCTTCCGACGTCACGTTTCTACAAGGGTAATTGTATGTTGCAGATTCACAAGTGATAAATTCGTTTGACTTGAATTTCGTGAGGTATGGTGATGAGAGAAATAAGAAAAAATTGTTCTATAAAGAATTCTTCAATAATTTTTAAAGTGTGTTTATTAACTTCTAATATTTATTTATTTATTTATTACTAATGGTTACTGATAAAAAAGACTACTTCGTCTGAATTATAATTGTATTTATAGGTTAACATTTATAATATTTGTATTCTACATCCCGTGCAACGCACGGGTGGAAAACTAGTAAATTCTAATAGTAATATATGTGTGATTCTTTCAAAAATAAAATGTTTAAAAAATAAATAAAAAAATATAGATGCCTCAACCACTACCTTATCCACCTTCCAGCACCACCACCTCCCTCCACCGGAAAAGAATTCTAAGTTGAAAAAATGTCACCGTGATAGCAATTTTGAAAATAAAGTCAGAGTTTTTCAAAGAGTAAAAATTTCATCTTCGTAACATTTTTAGAAAAATGTGACATTTTTTACACAAGATAACATCTATTCCGATTATCGGACCTGGTGATGCTGGTAAGTGGAGGATGCGGTGGCAGTGGCCTACATATTGTTTAATATTTTTTAGGTATTTTATTTTTTTTAGACTTTTAAGGTTTTTGAATATTTTTTATTTTTTATATTTATTTTATGTTTTCCCGTTTTTATTATTAATTTATAAATATAGTTTTATATTTTTATTATAAATAAAACTATAATTTTCTTATTAATAAGATAATCTATTAGAAATTATAAAAATGGGTAGAATGGGGGGAATGGATATATATTACTCCTATTTTAAGAACAAAAGGATTGTAATAATATTGATGGTACCATGGACTACGACCATGGCCCAAATATGAATTTATAATAAAGCCCATAAACGGGATCAGCCCTTGATGGGATTAATTCCTCAACGGGATCAGCCCATAAACGGGATTAACATTAATTAGCCGATGAGCCTAACTATGAATCCAACCCGCGAAAGGAACCCACAACCAGGCTAGGTTGGACAGTTGACCTCGAGCCTGGGTGGAGTTCTAGCGTGGTTGAACTCTTCATAGGGATTATGTGGCAGGCTATCGTTCGTGCGTAGCTATCTCGCAGCAGGCAGGAATAACAGAAGAAACGTGGACCTAAGGGAAGCAATCAATGCACAACGTCCAAGGCGTTACCGGACTCTTATTCAATTAATAGCATTTAATGTATCGGTTTCCTCCTAGCATACTAGTAACTAGGGTCTATAAATACTTCGTGGGTACATCCTATCAAAGGACCAAATTCCAGAATAATAATACTGCCTTACGCTGCCATGGTGAGTTTGGCAGACGTTCCAGTGAGTAGTGGAGACCTTGACCACCGCTTTCCAAGGTATCGTCCCTAACACCAATGGAAGGCCTCCGTCCCCGTGCCGGGCTCCATTTGAGCCACAGAGGGGAGAGGAAGTCTTTGTGCGGCGGCAAAAGAATTTTCCACCGGCAAGGTCTCAACGATCTCATCATTCCAAGCAGTCCTTGAGAACCTCAGTAATGAATACGATTGGAGGGCAAAGGGTCTCTGTGCATGACAGGCTCTCCTCCCGGGTGGAACGAAGTGAGGAGGCGTCCTCAGCGTCTGTCTCTTCCCACCGTCTTAGCGCGCGTGGGGGAGATCTCCGGAATGAGATCAATGCAAATCGGCGATGAACATGTTGGTGATTGGGGGTAAGCTGACCCGGAATGACGCCGTAGTGGCACATAATGTCCAGAACGGCAATACGAAGCGGGAACCTAAGCCTGACTTGAAGACTAGCCAAGTGAGCCCCAAAATGAAGAGGGGTAGGGGGTTCCACTATATTCTGACCAGGAACGGGCGGGAAGAAACGACACTAGAGCCCACGAGGGTCATCGCCTCATTAAATTCAATATTAGAGAGGGCACCGGTTGGGACTCTCTGAGCGAAGTCAGTGGACAGAAAGAAATGGGTTTCAACCCCATGAGAATCTACAGAAATTTGGGGCCTATTCGAACTGGCCCCGTCGTCATTAAAGACGTTATGAATTGGAACAGAACTCGAAGAAGACATAGCAGAACTGACGTGATGTAAGAACGAAGATAAAGAGGGAAGGTTCTGGCGGCCTAGGGTTCCCCAACCAAGAAGACAATATGCTTGTGCGAGAATAATTTTGCAGAAGTTCTCTTATGGAAGGGGATGTGCGCTTAAATAACCATAAATTAGTGCACTCTTCAAAACTGCTTGGGAACCGCAATCGAGGCACTTGAGTGTTGAAGGTGGTAGGGCGGATTGGAAGTTGTGCCGGGCTATAAGCATGCACATTTAATGTCAAGCGGCACTACAGATTATTAAAGATTCGAAATTTGAAATTCCCGCTCATTACTCTCCTAAAATCCAGCCCGACTGATTTTAGAGAGTAGGGGAGCTCGTGATGGTACCATGGACTACGGCCATGGCTGAAATGTGATTTTATAATAAAGCCCATAAACGGGATCAGCCCTTGATGGGATTAAGTCCTCAACGGGATCGGCCCATAAACGGGATTAATATTAATTAGCTGATGAGCCTAACTAGGAATCCAACCCGCGAAAGGAACCCACAACCGAGCCAGACTGGACAGCAGATCTCGAGCCTGGGCGGAGTTCTAGCGAGGTCGGACTATTCATAGGGCTTATGTGGCGGACTATTGTTCGTGTGTAGCTATCTGGTAGCAGGTAGGAATAATGGAAGAAACGTGGACCTTATGAAAGCAATTATTGCACAACGTCCAAGGTGTACCGAACTTTTTTTCAATTAATAGCATTTAATGTATCAATTTTCTCTTAGAATACTAGTACCTAGGGTCTACAAATACTTCGTGTGTACAACCTATCAAAGGATGAATTCTAGAATAATAATACCGCCTTACACTGCCTAAATTTCATCTGCTCTCATAGATATAACTCTCGTAGTTAGATTAAACTCCATCAAATATTATTTTATTTAGGGTTACGTTTAATCTTACTTAGGGTTAATAGTCATTGTATATACATATACACACATATACACAGTACACACTCCACCATAATCTTCTGAAATATATCGCATTTGACAACAAATATTACCCTCTGATGTATTTGTGTCTAAAATAGCCAAATAGGTCGGTTCCTATTTATTTTAGAGAAAATGGTCAAATAAGATTTTCTACTATTATGAAATTGTCACATAAGACCATGCATTAAATAAAGTGTCATATATATATACGTCTACTTATAAAAAGCAATCAGATGAGTCCTAACGACCTTTTGACAAACTTGTAATTCCATATTAGCGTACACTTGGCTATATTTTTTAAAATAGATTATAAGACTGACGTGAAATATTTAGTCAAGATTGACTTAAATACAAGACAAAAATAATGACACATAAGCTAAAATTGGGATTAAGAGGTTGTTAACGGATCATTATGAGTTATGACTCATCTGATTGTTTTTTTATAAGTAGACGTATTTATGTGACACTTTATTGAACACATAAACTTATGTGACGATTCTATAATAGTAGAAAACCTTATTTGTCCATTTCCCGTTTATTTTACTAGAAAACGAACCGGGTAGGTATTATGGAGTAACATGGGCCGGTTCCAAATTCTAAAAGTCTGGCCTTCTGGCTATTCAGCCCTTCAGCTTTGAGCCTTCTGCATAGGCGCATATCCGGCTTTGGAGCTAGGCTTGGAAATCGTCGAACAATACTCCCAGAGGCCAATAGTCGTGGAACGACATACTCGTCGAACAATGTGTTATCTATGCGATGTCTGGTGCGTTTCTGCTCTCTCGTAGTTTCGATGTTTTTCTTAGGGTTATTTTCGTTGTTGTGAAATCTGAATCAATGTACGTGAGAAGATGTCTTCTTATGTACAAAGGAGTGTTTATTCTTTACCTTATGAATACTCTGGTTTCTATTTGGTTGTCATGTATTTCTGGAAGCCATGGTGCCGCGATTAGCAAACTAAGCAATCACTAATTAATTATTGTTGAACGTCAGTAATTCAAAACATGATTTCTATGCTTTATGTGTGCCTGAAGGTGCCTTTAAACATTATATATGGTCAGCCTTTCAACTGTCATGCTTCAGTACCGCATTAGGAGTGGGCGAGTGGCCCCAATAATAAGAGTCACCATAAAATCCAAATACATTAACATGTATTGTAGATGCCAACCAAGGATTTGAAGCTTAATGATTCAGGCGTATATATCTCAGATAAAACCTTTCTCTTGAGCTGCACATTTCCCTTCACCATCCCATGCATAAAATTACCATATAATTGACATGTGAAGTAATATAGTAAATACGATATAAGAAAAAGGTATTAAAAGGGTTGTATCATCATCTTCTTAAATCTTAATCATCTAGTATCAGTATATCTAAGTTCGTAATTACTACAAACTTACAAATGACATGGAAAAGTATGAACTTTATGCATATAACTTTCACTTTATGTCACAATCATAGGTTAAACAAGCATGTCAAAATTTAAACAGTGGAATAGGGGAATCCATTGCAGTTTGGAGTATATTTAAGAACTCAAATAGATATAAATATCTTTTATGCAGTATTACTTATGCCTTGCCTCGTTGAATTTCTTGTTCACCACTTGCTGTTGACAGGAAATAAGAGGGGAAAACTGCAAAGATAGCCTACTGCAGTGGGTTCCAGAAGGTTGATGCTCTTGCTGTTGTTTGTTTACGAAATTTGGAAGGCGTATAGAAAAACTATTGCAGTGAGTTCCAATCTATCTCATGTTTTTTTCACAAAATGACATCACATGATAGATTTTACCTGAATCTATCTCTCACAAATAGTTCATTTTTTTAATTCAATTTCCTCTTCTATTTTTTGGTTATGAAGGATCTCAATATCTTTCTTTTCGATCATCTCTAGGCTAGTATCTTGGTTGCAGTTTGTTACTTTGGAAATGATTTTGGGACTTGAAAGTGGACTTTGTTGTTATTTTGGAAGTTGAAAGTGAACTATGTTGCAGCAATATTATTGCTGATTTTGGAACATGTTGATGATTTTTTTGGAGCTTGTTTGATTCCATGCTGAACTTAGATAATTGGGCTTGTGGTATTACTTTGAATAGTGTTTGTTACTTTGTTATTATAATTTCTACCCGTTTCAAGGAAGCAGCGGTTCTTAAAAAATTATATGTTACCCTCCCCTCCCCAGCCCGTGCCCACCCCTATAATGATATGCTTGCTTTGGATTTAGATTCAATCTTTCTAATGGAGGACATGCCTAGAGTAGAGGATGAATTGTCTGATTTGACCTCAGAAAATGAATCTCAGAAGAAGCAAGAGACCTTGGAGGAGATGCTTAGCAGGCACAGGTTATTATGTATATATATCACTATACGATACTCATATTAGTTTGGCAAACTTGCTTTACTTTTTGTCAGTATATCACTCATTCCAAAATAATCATTTCCTTTAATTTTATGTAGCTGTGTTAGAAAATTTGTTATGCCGTTGCACTGATTTAGTCACAATACAATTTCGGTATATTTGGAAATTGGAACCCGTAAAGTGTGTGAGAAAAAAATGGGAAGGAAAGAAAACAACTTGGGTCTGTTTGGAACCCGTAAAATGTTTGAGAAATAAACCAGTGGAGGAAAGAAATTTGAGGAAAAAATATGCTTCATAGTTTTTTATTTGAACCGAAATATGCTTCATAGTTAATTAATTGTTTTCAGACATTTGTTCAAACTCATTATGTTTATATATTTCTATCACATAAAGACTAAGAATCTAAGAAATCCAAATTAAACAAAATCAACAAATAGGAGTAAAACAAGTTAACAAGAATCATATGCACTAATAGGAGTGTCTTTGTTTTATCCTAAAATAAGACTCATGCAGTCTTAAATAAAGGTCTAAACACTTCTTTTAGGAATTAATAAATGAGTTCTATTTGTAGAAGAAAAAAACATGATGGTCATGGTTTAATGTGAGTAACTGCATTATGTTTCTTATTTATGGAATTTTCCCAATCTAAATAGAATTATTGTGGGGGCTTGTTTGGATGTGCTATTGTTTATAGCTGATCTAAGAGAAATTGTTCCGAAAAAAAGTCGTTCCAGTAGCAGCACAACCAAAAGCAGTTTTGCGTCTCTTAGGGCAGTTTTGTCATTTTTGTGCCTTTTGAATTGAATTACATGTCAATTGCTTCTTTCAAAAGAACTTTTAAGTGTTGTTTAATGTCAGTAAGGATACTTTGTAAAATGTTACTCAAAAAAGGGTTTTCATGTAAAGGAATTCTAGATCCTGTCAAAAAAAGTGGCACAATCTTTTAAATTTTGCAAGGCACTATTCTTATTCACAGAGCTCTGTATTTTTTAAAAAAATAAATTCTCTCGGATAAACTATATTTATTGAATTAATCTTGTTTGCAAGTTGTAACTCTTTTTTTAATCAAATTACATGAAAAGGAGAATTAGATTTGCTTGACTGAAGAGGTTTTTTTGAGAGGGGGAGTGTAAGTGTTAGTTTACCACATTCTACACAGGAAAGAGATTTCTAGGCTACAAGACAAGGAAACCGCAATGAAAAAGGTAGCTGCAAAAGGCAGCAAGGCAGAGCAGAGAGCTAAGAAGAAACAGGTGGATGAAGAGATATCCAAACTCTCTGCAGAACTCAAAGAAACGCACAACCGTGAGCTCGCTTCTTTAGGGTATAATAATGGTAATAACACCAACGACCAGGACAGTAAAGGAGATCTAAACAACTTAGTCAACGCGATAGCAGGCATATCGGTGCACATGGCCCATTCTGACCATTCAAAACCCAGTAAGAGCGTCAAGAAGCGTGAAAAAAGAGCCCAACAGGAAGCAGCCCGGGAGCAGAGGATCCAAGAAGAGCAGAGTAATATCCAAAGTGATCGGGCTGTTGAGGACGAGAAGCTGGTTAAGAAACTCGGACCACTTGGGCTCACCGTTAACCAAATAAAGCCCGACGGGCACTGTCTATACAGAGCCGTTGAGGATCAGTTAAGCATCCAATCCCGAGGCGCATGTCCTTATACTTACTTAGAACTCCGCCAGATGGCGGCGAGTTACATGCGGAAACACTCGTCGTATTTCCTTCCATTTTTCCTCTCTGAGAAAGTGGGCGGGTCACTGGGTCATGATGACTCAGTTTTGAAGAGGTTTGAAGATTACTGTGGAGAAGTGGAGTCAACGGCTGTGTGGGGCGGTCAACTTGAGCTTGGTGCCCTTACTCATGTCTTGAAGAAACATGTTGTTATATATTCGGGGTCATTCCCAGATGTGGAGATGGGAAAGGAATATTATAATAATGATGAGCCAAATGGTGGGACCGCCTCGTTTGGGCCGGATAGTATCCTGTTGTCATACCACAGGCATGCCTATGGACTCGGGGAGCATTATAACTCAGTTATCCCCAAACTATCCTGAAAGCTGTGCTTGTTTAACGTGAACAACAATGTTACCTCAACTATTGGACTGTTAGTTTTGATCAGATAAGTAGTTAAACTATTCACAAGGAATGAATGTATGGTTCAGAAAGTTCTTGTTCTTATTTTGATTGTGTTGTATTTCTTTTTATGCTGTCGTCTACATTTTGTGTAATCCTAGATGATGATGCGTATGGTTTACAGTTTCATTTTGCACACGGGTAGAAGGGTGTCAAGGGGATCCTAAGAAAAAGTTGGCACGTACGCAAATAATAATATAGTGTAATCTTTTTAGTAGGTTTTGACACGAGCCCCTACTATGTATTCTTTCTTTTTCTATAAATAGGTGAGGTGTTCCCTGGCCCTCACCCCAAAACCCTTGGGTTTTGGACTAATACCGGGTCCAAAAAAATAAATTAAAAAATAAAAAATAATAAAAAATACTATTTTCGCCTAATTTCATGGCAAAGTTGCACAATTATTTAGATAATAATTAAATAAGGTAATTTGAGTATATTTTGAAAAATATTTTAAGATTTATTTCAAAGTTTTGCTACACTTTCTCTTTTTTGTAAGTTTTTTCTATAAAAAAACCTTTACCTTTTCTACTTTTTTTTACCTTTCTACTTTTTTAGCATGTAATCACGATAATTAGACTTGGACTCGGGTCGGGTTGGGCCGGGGTCGGCGGTTCTGAATAGCTGGACCCGGGACCAGCCCGGGTAGCCATCGGGTCCGGTCTGAGTCCGGGCCGGGTTGGGCCTCGGGTTTGGTTATTATGAGTCCACTTGTTCTCAAACTGCATCCTGCCATCCGCAGGGGTGATCCAGACCCATTTCTGCCTCCAGCCCTTGAAAGAGTCGAGATAAGATTTGGCCTCGAATAAACGATGGCCGACCCGTTGAGAAATCGAGAGGTATCCTGGGGACTCAGAACCACCAAGTCGTACAGAGTGAAAGAAATGGAGGAAGAGATCGATTGCAAGGCGAATACCTAAATGCAGGCATCGGGCCAGGAACCCAGCTATGAACATATGGGTAGTTGGGGAAAATTGACCCGGAACCACGCCATAATAGCCCATAACGCTCAAATGGGCATTATGGAAAGGGAATCGAAGGCCTAGTTGAAGACTGACTAGATGTACCCCAAAATGAAGATGAGAGGGAGGGTCTACGATGTTCTGCCCAGGGGAAGGATGGGAACAGACCACACTAGGGCCCGCAAGGGCCACCGCCTCGCCAAATTTGGCGTCAGATAAAGTGACAACCGGGACTTGCTGGGCATAGTCGCAAGAAAGGAAGAAGTGTGTTTCCCTCCCATCCGGGTCCACCACAATGCGGGGCCGGTTGAAGGTGGCCCCTGCATCATGAAACACGTGGTGCAGAGGTACAGAACTCGAAGAAGACATCAGGGACACTAACCTGATGAAGCTTGAAGATGAAGGCCAAAGCGGAAATGAAGATTGTGGAAGAGCGTAATGAAAAACGATAGGCGTTTAAATAGCCAATAAATTAGGGCTTGGGAAACCGCAACGATAACACTCGAGTGCCGAAGATGGTATGTTGGGTTGGAAACTGTACCGGGTTGCAGGCCTATGTTAGGACAGGCGTATTTAATGCGAGCGACGCTACAGTTCACCCCAAAAGATTCCAAATTCAAAATTGTTCGCTCCAATTACTCTCCTAAAATCCAGTCTCGCTGATTTTAGAGAGTAGGGGGCTCGTGATGGTACCATGGGATTCAACCATGGCCCAACTGCGGCAATACAACCCAAAAGCCCACAACGGGATCAAGCCCTTAACGAGATTAGCTCTTAAACGGGATTAATGTTATAAAACCACTGACCTAACTAGGAATCAAACCCACGAGAGGAACCCACAACCAGGCCAGGCTGGGAAGCAGGACTTGAGACTGGGCGGAGTTCTGGTGAGGCTGAAATATTCCTAGGGGTGACGTGTCACGCTATCATTAGATCGGCAGCTGACAGGAGTTAACGACAAGAACGTGAGAATAAAGGAACAATAATTGCATAAACGGTCAAGACGTTACAAGAGTCCCATTCGAACTAATGCGTAATTAATAGCATTTATTATATCAGTTTCCTTTTGAAACACTAGTTCCTTAGCCTATAAAGATCACTTGTAAACCTCCTGAAGGGGGATGGAAAGTCCAATCAATAAAATAATGCCTTACGCTGCCATATTTTCATCTGTTTTCGTAGAATATAGCTCTTGTAGTTGGATTAAATTCCATCACTTATGATGTTAATGACATAGTTTAAAATATTTTAGAATTCATGAAGACACAATTAACATTCTAAATTGCCATTGAAAAATAAACAATGTTACCCCAATCTATATAATTGCAACACTTTTAATTTTCTATTTTAAATTATACAATTAACCCCATAAATTTACATTTTTGAAAGAAATAATACATGAAAATGGTGCAAAAATAATTTTTTATACAATGTTTGGAGTGTTTAAATTACATATGCAAGTTTGGGGTGTTTACCTCACACCGCTTCAAAGTTTAGGGTATTTTTTATTTTTTTTTCCTTTTTTTTAATAAATCAGCAGAATCAGTTAATCTAGTCACTTCAGCCATAACTTCATAAATTTCAGCAGAATTAGCCAATACAGCTGATATGAGTATTACCAAACGAGTTCCCAATACCCTGACTACTATGGATAGAAGGTTTTGTTAAACTCGGTCAAGAATACAAACACACGAAAAAGAAAGCGAAAGAGAAATAAAGGCTTTATCGCAAGATGTAGTATATGTATTCATCTCGTAATTTCTATCATTTTTAGCCTAGAAAGACCACCTAGTAGGGTAAGGTCCTCGTAATCCTTATCAAATACTCCTTTCGTCCCATTTTACATGTTTTACTTACAATTGATGGGATATTTATAGAGCTAATTTAACTCAGTAACGGTTGGCCCTAATAATTCTCTATTATTCCATAATTATTGTTGTAATAAGGGACTTAAATACAATAATAAAAGGCAATCTTCGTTATTATGTCTTTGCAATTGTGTCTTTATTTACATGCATCCAGGGTCATAACACTTTTTTCACTTTATATAATATACTTACTCAGTTCTTTTTTTTATTGTAATGATCTAATTTTCACATTTGATAAGACACAAGTTTGACCATTAATATATTTCATTCCTTATTTGTTAAAAATTAAAAAAAAAAATCATATTTTGAAATTTTAAAATGAGAGGAATTTGACAATATTTTCCAAGATTTTAATTTATAATACATTAATAAATAAATGTAATCAAAGTATAATATGTGAATAGTGCAAAACCACCAATGTTGCAACTAAAAGAGAATGAAGGCAGTATTTAATTTGACCCATCACCAAACAAATATAGTATTCCAGTATCTACATTGATGATGTTTAATTCCTACTGCGAGAGCTAATTTACTTAAAATATATTTGGGCAGCGTAAGACAGTTTATTAATCGGAAGAGTGGATCCCTTTTAGAGTATGACAAGAAGTATTTATAGGTATAGGGCTATAGTAGCCTATGAGATATAACTGACACATTTTATAGGTTCAATCGTGATGGAACTCTTCTAATGTATCCCATAATTCTGCATTTATTACTCCTTTATGTCCACATCTCATCTGTTAAGTCCCTGCCGCTGCTAGCTATGCATAAGAGTTAACTTGTCACGTAAGTCGTAAAGTGAGTTTGACCTTGCTAGAATCCCACCCAGGCTCGAGACCTGCTGATAAGGTCAGTCTTGATGTAAGTTCCTTTCACGGGTCGTGGTCCCCTGTCAAGCCCAGTTGGCTTTATTAACATATTAATCCCGATTAATGGGCTTAGTTCATTAATCCCGTATAATGAGCTTCGCGCATATGGTCTTCGATTGGGCCATGGTCACAATCCACGGTACCATCATGAGTCTTTCTCGATGATGAGGGGTCTAGTTCCAATCAGCCCTGGATTCCGATGGATTCTCATGGCATTGAAACCCATTTCTATCTGTCCGCTGATTTTGCCCGTGGGGTCTCGGCAGCCGCCATATCGGATTCAAGGTTTGATGAGGTTGCTCGCCTTGCCGGTCCCAACGTCATTTGTTCTCGCCCTACTCCATGGAAGAACATCATGACCCCCCCCCCCCCCCCCTCACCTCCTTCCCATTTTGAGGTCCATCTAACTAGTTTGGAAGCGGATCTTCGATTTCCCATCCGGCTCTCCTGAATATATTGGGTCATTATGGGGTCACTCCTCCTTCACCCGCCACACTTCTTCAATAGCCATGTGGACAACTTCAGCGTCATCAAGCTTCTTCTGCATCACCCCAGCCTCCTTCACAGTTGCAACCCTACCAATCTCCACCGTGGCTAGCCTAGCCTCAAGGTCTGCCATAATCTTCTTATGCTCAGAAGGTAGACCTTGAGCCTCTTTCTGCTCCTCGTCAAAGCGATGGGAGCTCGAAGCAGCAAGGATGAAGGCATGAGACAGTGGGATCATCATATCAGAAATGAAATGATGACACAATTCACAAAGAGGCGAAGTAAAATAGGATAATAATAAAAAATACCTCAGAAATGGCGTTAACGACACGCTTCAAGGCTGACCTCGGGGTTAAGTCACCGAGCTCCTCTACGTCAGTAGGAGGAGTGACGGCGAGAGCCAGGGCTATGGGGTTAACGCTGCCATGAAGGAGGGAAGCCGAGCTCGAGCGCATGATCAGGCGAACCGTATGGTAAGGTGCGAGAGAGTTCTCGTGAATGCTACCTTCCATATACTGGGCCTCAGAGTCAGATTCCACTTCAACAACTGAACAAGGGGGATTTTTGTCATCAACCTTCGCTTTCTTCATCTTAGGCACAAGGACCGGCTGTGATGCTAGCCTCTTCCTGACCCCCTAGTATGGGGAGGTTGGCGTTGGTTTGGCAAAAGTCACAGCCTCATCCTAGTGGGTGGTCCCACCTAATCCTTCCAATGTGGACCCCCCAATGGCTTCCCTCGTTTGTACCCTCCTAGCCAGAACCGGGGAGCCTAGGGTAGAACCGGCCTTGGAAGCAAGCCTCTCTAGTCGGGACGCCATCTTCTCACCATGTGAACAAAGGAAAACAACAATAAGATTCAACAGATAAACTGTGTAACATAAAGGAAAACTTGAAAATCAGGCATAGCAAACCTGAGCTAGATTCAAGGACAATCACACCGTCCTCACCTACGTAATGGCCAAGGAAGGGTGCACCATCAGCATAATCTATTTCTG